GTAGCAGGAAGCTGGAGTCTGGAGCCAGCGACAGCAGTCAGACCCAGGTCCTCCAAGGTGGGACGCAGGTATCTTAACCTGTAAGCTAAGCTAAATGCTTGCCCCCTCCCTTAACCAATTTTAATCTGTATCCTTTCACTGTAGTAAACCGTGATCCTGAGTTACTCAATAGCTTTTCTGAGTCCTGGCAGCACATCATCAGGCCTGAAGATTGCCTTGGGGGGCACCTCTAATTCACACATAAGTGGGTCCCTATCTCCTGGATGAAAGGGCACCCATAGTTCACTCCAAGGTGGGAAAATATGAAAATGTATCTTTCTTTAAGATTTATTTATTTATTTGAAGATCAGAGTTAGAGAAAGAGGAGAGGCAGAGAGAGAGAGAGAGAGTCTTCCATCCGCTAGTTCACTCCCCAATTGGCCACAACGGCCAGAGCTGCACCAATCCGAAGCTAAGAGCCAGGAGCTTCTCTGGGTCTCCCACATGGGTGCACTGGCCCCAGCACTTGGGCCATCTTCTATTGCTTTCCCAGGCCATAGCAGAGAGCTGGATAGGAAGTGGAGCAGCCAGGACTCGAACCGGCGCCCCTATGGGATGCTGGCACTGCAGGTGGAGGTCTATACCACAGTGCTGGCCCTGAAAATGTATCATTTAAAAGCCTATTTTTGAATATTTATATGGGTCTTAGTCATGCTATATCAAAATTTAGAAATGCCCAAAGTGTCTTCATTTGTGAATAGTTTGTGGCATAGCCACATTGGCCTAGACCGTTTTCTGCTGCTGTAACTGATTTCCACACACTAGGCACTCTATCAAGAAGAAAGGTTTATTCAGCTTATGCTTAGGATGGTGTCACACCCAAAGCGGAGGGACCGCATCTGGTGGAGGCCTTCTTGCTGGTGGGGTCTCTCTGCAGAGTCCCAGGGTGGCCCAGGACACCACACCCAAGAGACAGAGCCAAACTGGCCTTTATGGCAGATGCGCTGCCGAGCCCACCCACCAGGCCCTGAGCAGAGCAATCCGTTCCTGAGGCAGCCCCTCGTGGCCTAACGTCTGGCCAAGCTCCTGCCTGGTCCCACCTCCTAAAACCTCACAAGGAGGATGAAATTTGAGCATGGGTTTTGGTGGGAACATTCAAACCAAGGCACAATAATGTAACATGAGGGGTCTTTAAAGAGCTCATGGAAATGTGGATTTTGAAAAGACAATACATGCATGGGTTTCAAAAGTTTTGCACAAGAATAAACATCTTTTAATTCCACTTTTCTACGAACATTTTGAAGTTCCCTGGTAATGCTCAATAATAAAAGGCAATGAACTAGTGATGCACACAACAGCCTGGACAAATCTTAAGCTATGTGGTAAAGGCAAAGAGCCATGCCCAAGGGGCTCCATGCTTAGGGATTCCACGTAAAGGATATTTTTACAGAACTAAATAGATAACACAGAACAGATGGGTGGCTCCCAGGGTCTGGGGGCAGGAAGGGTTGACTACAAAGTGGCATCAGGACACTTTGGGGGTGATTGAAACATTCTGTGTGATGATTGTGGTGACACGGCTGTATGCACTTGTCAAAATCCATTGAACTCTTCTTCAAAAAGGGGTGGATACGTCTGACTTTTTATTTTATTCCTAATTTGTTTTGCTTTTTTTAAAAAAAAGATTTTTATTTATGTATTTGAGAGGTAGAGTTAGAGACAGAGAGAGGGAGAGAGAGAGAGGTTCTTCCATCTTCTGGGTTCACTCCCAAATGGCTACAATGGCCAGAGCTGGGCCAATCTGAAGCCGGGAGCCAGGAACTTCTCCAGGGTTTCCCCGGCAGGTTCAGGGGCCCAACCCCCCGGGCCATCCTCCACTGCTTTCCCAGGCCACAGCAGAGAGCTGGATCAGAAGAGGAGCAGCTGGGACACGAACTGGTGCCCATATGGGATGCCAGCACTGCAGGCAGAGGTTTAGCCCTCTACGCCACAGTGCCAGCCTCTTGCATCTTTCTTTTTTAACATTTATTGTTATTCATTTGGAAGTCAAAAGGAGAGAGAGAGAGAGAATGAGAGAGACAGAGACAGAAAGAGAAACAGATCTTTGTCTGCTGGTTCATTTCCCGAACGGCACAACAGCAGGGCCTGGGCCAGGCTGAAGCCAGGAGCTCCGTCCGGGTCTCCCACGTGGATGGCAGGGGCCCACGCATTTGGCCTTCCTCTGCTGCCTTCCCAGGAGCACTGTCAGGGAGCTGGATCGCAAGAAGAGCAGCGGGCCTGGAACTGGTGCTGCTGATACGGGATGCCGGCTGCTGCAGGCGGCAGCTAAACCTGCGGGGCCACCATGCCGGCCCCTCCATCTGACTTTAAAGAAAAATGTATCAGTAGGTTAGAAATTTCAGGAAACCAAATGACCTCGAGATTTGTCAAAGGATTTACCAAATACCTTGTTGTGTAACACTGCTGTGACACCTGTGTCAGTCCTCGCTTGTCAGCTGTTTCTTTGTCTTATGTTTTAGTAGCTCTACGTCCTCACAGTTTTTTAACCTCTAAATTTCATTCATATACAAGAATGTAGGTAATGCGGCTGTAAGTTAAGGAGCTCGATTTTAGCATGAACTCCCTTGAACCCATTACCCAACTTCAGAGTTGCTGAAGGCGTCCCTGCCTCCCAGTCTGAGTTCCGGGCTGGTCCCCAGAGGCACCCACTGCCCTGAGCTTCATGCTTATCAGACCTTGCTTTGATTTCTGTAGTTTTACCAGGTAAGCTGGATTCCTACAGAACATAGTGTTTCATTTCCTTGGGCTGGAGTTCTGTATAACTGAGGTGGTACTCTAGGTAGATTGTGTCAGCCAGGATCTCCAGAAACCAAAGGCCACAATGAAGAGCTTGTTATTGATGGAGGTGCCAGTGGAGGCCAGTGGTGAGGGACCCAGCAGGAGCCGTTGGGGCCCCCAGGGACTCTTGTAACAGGTGCAGATGACAGCGGGGTCTCCAGTTGAGGAGCCGTGGCTGCAGAGGAAACACAGGTGCAGAGCAAGGGTGGGCGTGAAGAAGCACCCCCACTTCGTCCTTTCGCCTCCTGATGTCCTGCTGGCCTCTCCCACGTGGGGTTCTGGCTGGAAGCTTTCCGAGAGAGAGCACAGAGACAGGACGGGGAGCAATCTGAGCGGGGGGTGGAAGGATCTACCATCAACATGTTTTCACTCAGCACACAACTGTTTCATAGACTCGTCCCTGCTGTGTGTGTGTGTGTGTGTGTGTGTGTGTGTGTGTGGCTGCAGGGCACTCATTGTTAAGCACTGTTTAGTACACCCCTGGGAAGATACACCACAATTTATTAATCCATTTTCTTCTGGATGGATGTCTTGGTCATTTCTAGGTCTTTCTTTCTTTTTTTTTTTTTTAAATTTATTTGAAAGACAGAGTTACAGAGAGAGGTAGAGCCAGAGGGAAATCTTCCATCTGCTGGTTCACTCCCCAAGTGACCACAATGGCCAGAGCTGAATTGATCTGAAACCAGGAGCCAGGAGCTTCCACACGGGTGCAGGGGCCCAAGGACTTGGGCCATCTTCTACTGCTTTCCCAGGCCATAGCAGAGAGCTGGATCGGAAGAGGAGCAGCTGGGACTTGAACCGGTGCCTGTATAGGATGCCAGCACTGCAGGCTGGGGCTTTAACCCGCTGCGCCACAGCGCCGGCTCCTCTAGGTTTTTAATAAAGAACAAACGCTACAAAGCAGTTTTGAGATCATGTAAAGAGGGCTTTGCCTGCAACCAACCAAGAGCCTCATCGAGGGTGGGAGCCCTCAGGGGCTGGCGCTGTGATGCAGCAGGTTAAGCCTTAGCCTGCCATGCTGGCATCCCACATGAGCCCCAGTTCAAGCCTTGGCTGTTCCACTTCCAATCCAGCTCCCTGCTAATGCACCTGGAAAAGCAGCGGAAGGTGACCTGCCACCCACGTGGGAGGCCAGGATGGAGTTCCTGGCTCCTAGCCTTGGCCTGGCCCAGCCCCAGCTGTTGCAGCCATTTGTGGAGAGTGAACCAGTGGGTAGAAGATCTCTCTGTCTCTCCCTCTCATTCCATCACTGTGCCTTGCAAATAAAATAATAATAATAATAAAAAGTGAAGATTTCTTGTGCCAGGTGGGATTAACTGGCAGGGCAACTCATTTTGCTTTCTTGTAAAATATAAACTACATAAGAGTGACTATTTCAGGGCGGGAGTTTAATGTGAGCAGTTAGGATGCCGGTTGCAATGCCCACATCAGCATCAGAACGCCTGGGTTCAGTTCCCAGCTCTGCTGCTAACTCAGCTTCTTGCTCGTGCAGATCCTGGAGGGCAGTAGGGGTAGCTTAGGTGACTGTGTCCCTGCCGCTCACATGGGACACCTGTTCTCAGTCCCAGATCTAGCCCAGCCCTCCTCATTATGGGCACCTGGGGAGTAAATGGGAGCTCACTCGCTCTCATGCTCGATCAAATCAACACAGAACAGAACCCTGAGCGGCGCTACGGCGTAACAGGTTAAACACCTGCTGCAGCACCGGCAGCCCATATGGGCACCAGTTTGTGTCCCAGCTGCTCCTCTTCCTAGCTGGCTCTTTGTGTGGGACCCTGCACCTGTGAGGGAGACCCAGATGAAGCTCCTGGGGACATCTGGGGAGTGAACCAGCAGATGGAAGATCCCCACTCTCTGCTTGTAGCTCTGCCTCTATAAATAAATAAAAATCTTTAAAAATGAAAAAAAAAAGCCACATCAGCAAAGAACTGAAGCATCTTGGTAGTTTTTATTTTATTTTTTTAAATGTACCAGTTTAGCACTTTCTAGTGCCTAATTCAGTGGCATTAGGTACATTCTCGGGACATCTTTCTTTTTAGTAATAAAGATGAGCAGCCAGCTGGAATACTTTTTAAACCAAGATTTCTCCTGCAAATTCTATAGATACAATATGTTCCATCTTGTTATAATTCCCTCATTTATTTTTGAGAAAGGCACTGTTCATTGTTCTTGGTGGGACTTACTTGAGAATATCGTCCAAGTATTTATTTTCGTGGAGCTGACGAGATGGATTGCATCCAGCCTCTTCTGAGACACTGGCTCTTCTAGGGTTCCACCACTGCAAGCCATTCCCCCCTTAACTTGTGGTTTATTTATTTAGTTATTTATTTGAAATTGAAAATCATTTATTTGAAAGAGAGAGAGGGAGAGACACAGAGCATTCTTCCATCCACTGGTTCACTCCTCAGATGGCCATGACGGCCAGACTGAAGTCAGGAGCCTGGAACTCCACCTGCGTCTCCCACATGGGTGGCATCCTCCACCGCCTTCCCAGGCACATTAGCCGGGAGCTGGATTAGAAGTGGAGCAGCTGGGACTCCTGTGGCACGCAGGCATCACAGGCAGGGACTTAACCCTCTGCACCACAACACCAACCCCTGCCATTCATGTCTTTGCCTGCGCTTCCTTGAGCTTTGTCTTTGCTGGGACATGGAAAATAATATACTTTAAATTTTTTTAAAGATTTATTTATTTATTTTAAAGTCGGAGTTACATAGAGAGAGGAGAGGCTGAGAGAGAGAGAGAGAGAGAGAGAGAGTGAGAGAGGTTTTCCATCCGCTGGTTCACTCCTCAGTTGGTTTCAACAGTCAGAGCTGTGCCGATCCAAAGCCAGGAGGCAGGAGCTTCTTCCAGGTCTCCCATGTGGGTGCAGGGGCCCAAGCACTTGGACCATCTTCTACTGCTTTCCCAGCCCATAGCAGAGAGCTGGATTGGAAGTGGAGCAGCCAAGACTCGAACTGGCACCCATAAGGGATGCCGGCACTGCAGGCGGTGGCTTTATCCTCTACACCACAGTTCCGGCCTTGGTATTTTAATTTAATAGGTGTTGGACCTGTGCTTGGTTGTCAGGGACGTTGAGACAAGCAGGGCCTGGAACTGGAAGGATACTGTGACACGATAGGCAGATGGGTCACTTCTTTATTTAGGCACCAGCAGCAAAGTGACCGGAACACAGCAGCAACAGCCCACAAGGGCTGGCTCCTTCAGTACAGGGTTTTTACACAACAGTGGCCATTAGCCAAGGAGCTACTCTGCAGAAAATGTGTCAGCCCTACTGGGCCCGTAGACCAGTGTCAGTGTCTGGTTGCCATGGAGGCATAGATAAGAAGGCATAGCAGCATCAGTCAACACCATTAGGCAACCTGCTTACCTGGATTTCCTTAAGGTTCCGACAGGTGGCTGAGTAAATCAAGGAAAGAGGTTTATTTTAGCTCAAGGTCGTGATCCAAGGTTAAGGGGTAGTGTCTGGTGATGGCCTTCTTGCAAGCAGAGAATCTGGGCATCACATGGCAAGAATGACTTCCAAGAGGGGCAGGTGTTGGGCACAGTGGTTAAGATGCCGCTCGGGACACCTGCCTCCCATATCTTGTGTGCCTGGGCTTGAGTCCTGGCCCAGTTCACAATCCTGGCCTTCCACTAGTGTGCACCCTGGGAGCCAGCAGTGATGGCTCAAGTACTTGGGTCCCTGCTACTCACGTGGGAGACGTGGACTGAGGTCTGGGCTCCTGGTCTCCCCGGCTGTTGTCAGCATTTGGGGAATGAAACAGGGAATGGAAGATACCCCCTCCCACTCTCTCTCTCTCTTTCCCTGCCTTTCACATAAAATGAAAAATAATTTTAAACAATTTTTTAAAGATTTATTTATTTATTTATTTGGAAGGCAGTTACAGAGAGGAAGAGGCACAGGGAGAGAGAGAGAGAGACAGAGAGAGAGAGAATCTTCCATCTGTTGGTTCACTTCTCAAATGGCCACAATGGCCAGAGCTAAGCCATTCCGAAGTCATGAGCCAGGAGCTTCTTCCAGGAATACCACACGGATGCAGGGGCCCAAGGACTTAGGCCGTCCTCCACTGCTTTCCCAGGCCATAGCAGAGAGCTGGATCGGAAGTGGAGCAGCTGGGACTCGAACCAGAGCCCATATGGTATTCTGGCTCTGCAGGTGGAGACTTTTACCAGCTAGCTACACCACAGCGCTAGCCCCCCCCACACACCAAAAAAATATTTTTAAGAGCATACACAACAGACCTAGCTTTTATGGGAGACCCACTCTGAAGCTGACCCATTACTCCAGTCATGAGGGCAGTCTTAAACCTCTTGAAGGTCCCGCTTGGTCCCACCTCTACTCTGATAATGCAGATTAAATTTCAGCGTGAGTCTCTGACGTCGTGGGGCAGCAGGCTAAGCCACCACCTGAGAAGCTGGCATTTCACTTGAGTGCCGGTTCAAGTCTCGGTGGCTCTGCTTTTGATCCAGCTCCCTGCTAATGTTCCTGGGAAAGCAGTGGAAGATGGCTCAAGTGCTTGGGCCCCTGTCACCTTGTGGGTCCCCCTAAATGGAGTTCCAGGCTGCTGGTTTCAGTGTGGCCCAGCCTTGGCCTTTGCAGCCATTTGAGGAGTGGACCAGCAGATGAGAGATCTCTCCCTCTTTCTTACGCTGCCTTTCAAATAAACAATAAACCTTAAAAAAAATTTAAGATGAGTTTCAAAAGGGACAAACCATACTCAGACTGTAACCAAATCCCCCTGTCAGTTCTTAAAACCTTAGATCAGAACCCAGAAGTTTGGACAGGTGGCCCTAAAAGCTGTCATTAGGTCCTGTGCCTCCCAGGACTCCTTTGAGTAACTGGTTCACAAATCTTTCAGCTCACTCAGCAAGTGTTTGTTGAACATCTGTGCTAGCCTGGTGCTGCCCCAATCTCTGAGGATGAGGAGGCGTGTGCTTGGCCTTGTTAGCTCAGGCTGTCCTGGAGTGGGCTCACCTGAGGAGGATGGCAGCTCCCGTGTGCCCACTGGCCTTGCTTTGAACCAGACGGTCTATTTGTGTTTACCAGTTGTAACAAATAGTTTCCCCACAATTAACAGCCAAATGTTTACCTTTCTAAAAACATGCCAACTCCAATTTATTGCGTAGTTATAGAAATTCAGGTGTTCAGAAGTGTACATGTTTATCCAAGACAAATGAATCGTATCTACCAAACCCTTTGTACAGAATGGTCAAAGCAGCTTGATTCCTATGAGCCAGAAACAACCATGCAAAGAGCCTGGATGTCCCTTGAAAGAGAGGGGTGAACAACGTGTCGTATAGTCCGCTCGCTGGATTCCCACTGGACTCCATCAGCAACAACAGGGAACAACCGATACCTGGACTTGGATGGCATGGATAAATCTCGGAAAAGTTGTTCTGAGTGACAGGGAGTTCTCAGTGAATTCTTCCATTTACATGAAGTTCTAGTTCAGGTACAACCAATCTCTGGTGGAAACAGAGCCCAGGGTTGGGGGAGGGGGTGTCAAGGGCAGGAGTGTTGGGGACCTCTGGGGAGACTGCGCCCTTCTACATCTTGAAGTGGGGGGGGGTTGGGGCACACAGGTGCATCTCATGAAACAGGACGCATGTGATTTCCACATTCCATCAAATGCAAATATTACCTGCAAAGGAAAAAAATAGAATCATAAACAAATATTGAACTCTAATGACCAATTTGCATGCTGAAGTATGGAGGGGCGAGTGTGCTGATGCCTGCAACGTACTGCAAACTAAATGTAAAAAATAGAAAGGATTAATGGGGGCAGGCATTGTGAATATCGGGGTGCCTGGGATCAAGTCCCCCACCCCCCGGCTCCCGACCTTGGCTTCTTGCTGATGCACGGCCCGGAAGCAGCAGACAATGGCTCAAGTACGTGAGTCCCTGCTACCCACGTGGGAAACCCAAATGGAGTTCCCAACTCCTGGCCTAACCCTGGCTGTTGTGAGCATTTGGGGAGTGAAGCAGCAGATGGAAGTTCGCTCTCTCCGTGTCACTCTTCCTTTCAAATGAAAAGCAATGGGTTGATGGATGGAGGAACTAGTAGATGCTTAGAAAGGTATTAAATAAAGCAATAAAACAAACTGCAGACTTTAGCTGATGGATACTCAGTATTCTCTGTGAAATTTTTCAACTTATGTATATTTCAAGTTTCATAATAAGATGCTGGGACAAGAACTGATTTACAAATTGGACAAAGTTCAATAATTTTTCATTTGAAGTTAAAATGTAGCCAAATAAAGCTGGGTTCAAATTCTAGCCAGTCAGCTTTCTGGCTGGTCACTTAATCTGTGTCCACTGTCGTGTTCTCATATACAAAATGGATGTTATTTTATCTTGCAGGGTTTTGTGAGATCAAATTGATGCACTCAAGTGCCTGTGTCCTTCAGCGCACACAGTGGGTGAACAACAGAAATGTGTGTATACATATATCACTAGTGATTATGATGTAGAGGTTCAAAGATGGTTGACATGAATGTGGATTAGGAAAACCTAAGGAGGCTTCCTGAAGTATGATTATTTTATTTTATTTTATTTTATTTTATTTTATTTTATTTTTTGACAGGCAGAGTGGACAGTGAGAGAGAGAGACAGAGAGAAAGGTCTTCCTTTTGCCGTTGATTCATCCTCCAATGGCCACCGCGGCCTGCGGCCGGCGCACCATGCTGATCCGATGGCAGGAGCCAGGTACTTCTCCTGGTCTCCCATGGGGTGCAGGGCCCAAGCACTTGGGCCATCCTCCACTGCACTCCCGGGCCACAGCAGAGAGCTGGTCTGGAAGAGGGGCAACTGGGACAGAAATTCGGCACCCTGACCGGGACTAGAACCCGGTGTGCCGGCGCCGCAGGCAGAGGATTAGCCTAGTGAGCCGCAGCGCAGGCCGAAGTATGATTATTTTTTAAAAAGTTGTATTTAGAACAAATCAAGGACATTTGTAGTGGGAGAAACAGCCCAAGGAAAAGTCTAGGAACAAAAATGATGTTAAAAGGGAAAATTCCATAAGCCAATTATGTCAAGTAGAGTTTATTTCAACAAACAAGAACAAAAACAAAGAAATGGCTTGCGAACTGGGCAGCTCGCAGCAGCAGAGCAGGTTCTGAGAACTCCAACGGCAATGTGGTCTGACAGCATTTATAGAAAAATGGAAGTGAGGCATAGAAAACAACTTAATTGGCTAAAGCTTAGTCAAGGAGTCAGTTGGTTACAGCTGAGATAATTGGTTACAGAGTCCCTGCAACCGACCCTAGCTCTTGTTGCTTTAGCCTGT